TCTGCCTGCCTTCTGCCTACCTTCTTCCTGCCTTCTGTCTTCCTGCCTTCTGTCTGCCTGCCTTCTGTCTGCCTGCCTTCTGTCTGCCTGCCTTCTGCCTGCCTGTCTTCTGCCTGCCTTCTACCTGCCTTCTGCCTGCCTGCCTGCCTTCTGCCTGCCTTCTTCCTGCCTTCTGTCTGCCTGCCTTCTGCCTGCCTGTCTTCTGTCTGCCTGCCTTCTGCCTGCCTTCTTCCTGCCTTCTGTCTGCCTGCCTGCCTGCCTGCCTTCTGTCTGCCTGCCTTCTGCCTGCCTTCTTCCTGCCTTCTGTCTGCCTGCCTGCCTGCCTGCCTTCTGTCTGCCTGCCTTCTGCCTGCCTTCTTCCTGCCTTCTGTCTGCCTGCCTTCTGCCTGCCTTCTTCCTGCCTTCTGCCTTCCTGCCTTCTGCCGGCCTGTCGTCTGCCTGCCTTCTACCTGCCTTCTGCCTGCCTGTTGAGAACTTTCTAATACACAGACAAGTTTCATCCCATAAGGTATACAGAGAACATTTTCTAAGTGACTGGCAAATATTTATTATTTATATTMTTTATGACAGTAAGAAGAAATAATAAATATACTTTACTAGCTGAAGTCATCATTTGTCAACTAGCTAAAGTCTAATCTTCACATCTGGATTAGATCATTGCAATTTATAAATTATAAATTTTTCTGGTATAAATCTGCTGTTTTACATGATTGTTGAATGAAATTAACATAATTATTAATTAAAAAACATGACAGATAATTTGTGAAACAGATCCAGTTCAGCTGCTGTTTATCTATTAGTTTCTATGGAGGCTGTGAGCTGTTGTCCTGTTTGGTCTGTTTCTGCTCCTGTCACAGACACTATCAGTGGACAGGATGGGCAAAGCTTAATCTAGTGTTCTTATTCAAATCTATGTTTGCTTATACAGTAGTAATGGTGTTTTCCATCTGGCTACATTTTGGCTATTAAAACTTCAGATTTTGTTAATAAATAGTTTAAAGAACTAAAGTCAGTCAGTGGAACTGTACTGTGGCTGTCAGTAATAATATGTGTTTTAGCCACTAAGGAGAGGTGTGTGATTTAATAAGAGAAAAAATGTGTCCCCTCTCTTCTGAGATGATGGTTACACCCTTGAGTGAAGGCACCAGCAAAATGTCTGGTTTTCTCCTGCTTTTGTTAAACTGTCTGTTGGAGCTCTTGCGCTGCACAGAGAGGCTGCCTGTCACTGTGAACATGAGTTGAGATCTTCTCCTCATCGGTCAGTCCACATGAGGTGGGTCAGGTGACTGAGAGGGTTGCTTACTGTCAAGTGTTGCTTTTGTGAAAATGGAGGACACTTCCCTCAATCTCAATGTAGTGGGTCATGTTTACCAGATTATACTGATGTGTTTTGTTTTTATATCATGTGAAGGAGTGTCCTTGACAAGAGGACATTGTAGTGTATTTGTAGTTCTATGAGCATTTGTACATCAAAATACACTTAGAATTTGAAGTATTGAGTATATTTACTGTATATTGCAATAATTTACTCTGTATTTTGCCAGACTGGTAATCCTGGGGTCGTGATGATGGGGCCCTTGAATATTATTGCCCAGGGTACAGTGAAGCGTAAATCCCGCTCTGCATCTGCGCATATGACAATAAAAACTTTGAATCTTGAATCTTGAATCTACCTGAGATATCCCTTTGAAGAATAATAAATTTTATGCAGCTGTTAATGCAAATAATTTTTTTAAAACTTGACGTTTATTTTATTAATAATCTGTTGCAGGGATGCCCAAACATTTTCACTGAGAGGGCCAAATTTAAAATCGATCTGAGGGTCGCGGGCCAAATGCAATAATATAAGAAATGCAAATACTTCTTACATAAACTTGTTTTATTTTTATGATTAAGCTAGGAGCTAGTGTGGTTGCCTACATTTTTTTAGCCCATGGGCATGGAGAAAATTCAATGTATGCAAAGTCAATGCAATGTCAGCAAAGGCTCATGAAACTATTCATAATTTAAAAGTTGGATATATGGGGTCTTTTAAGGTGTGCAAATCTAGATGTGGGCTTAAATCTAATCTAAATGTCTCTTGTAGTTACTTGAATTTTATATTCAATCTGAACATAATTACAATCTAATAACCAGGACAGCTGTTGGTGGGCCAAATCAAATGGTTTGGTGGGCCAGTTTTGGCCCGCGGGCCCCACTTTGGGCACCTCTGATCTGTTGTAAACCTCCACACATCTCAGGCCTTAGTAATTTAGTTGCTGTCCTACTCCTTACATCCAGCAGGGGGAGGTAATAAACTCATAAGATAGTCGCTAACCACTAAAAGAAGAAGAAGAAGAAGAAGAAGAAGAAAGAAACAGGAAGCAAAAGTGGAGGAAGCTAAAAATGGAAGCAGCAGTGTTCATTCTGTCTCTTGTGGACTGCTGTGCGCTGATTTTCCTCTCGGTTTACTTCGTATCCTTTTTGAGATGAGTGTTTTTGTGAATGATGATGGTTTAATGTTGAGTTTTAATATTTTAATTTCTTCTCAGCCCTCAGCTAGCTGACCTGCAAGCCGCCTACAGGCGTTGGTTCCACAGGTAACACAAAATCAGTTTACTGCTGAATGAAATGTTAAACTTCGATCCCGGAGGTTCTGTAAATAGTCTGCAGATAGATGAACTTTGACTTCTATCCAATCTGTTTTACTCCCAGTCGCTTTTTCTTAAGACACGACCCTGGTCGCGTTAAAAAGTGTAGTTATTCTCTGTGAACTGATCCCGTCTATTTACTGGATCACAGACAGCTTCAGTATTCAGCCTCACCCGTAATTTACAGCTCTGTGAACAGGTATCTCCCCTCACCTCATGAATCAGGTCAGAGGTTTCACAGCACGTGTTATGAAAATCTTAAAATCCTTCAGTTAATTTAGAAAGCAGGTCATCAGAGACGTGTGTCTCAGGTGTGTGACCTTTGACCTACAGGTGTGTTCAACTCAGTCAACTTCATTTATACCTACAGGTAGATTTGATTACAGTGAAGTGAGTCAGCTTCCTTCCAAAAACAAGACATGGACATATAAAACTCTTCCATCTCAAGAATATCAGAACAACAGGAGGACACGAGATAAAAAGATTAGACAAGATAAAACCTGACAAAATTCATAGAACAGGATAAACAAGGAGATAAGACAGGATAAAGGGCTAAAAGAAAAAAAATCAAAATGGTAAATTGAATTTAAGGAACTGATGACAACAGGAACAAAGCTGGTTTTAAAAAAAAAAAACGTCTGCGTCCTGGTGAGAGGAGTGTGTGTGAACCTTGACCTGCAGGACAGATCATCACCTTGTCTGATCTGGAGTGTGACTACATAAACGCACGAGCATGCTGCTCCAAACTGAACAAAGTAAGTCTGTGTTTTATCACTGACCGTATCACCTGTACAGATTTATAGATTTATTATGTTAGATTGATACTTATTTATCGTTAAAATTTAATTTTATTATTATTGTTGTTGCCTTTGACCTAAGTGGCTTAATTGGAAGATGATGTTTTTGCCTGTTTGAATACATCCCATCTAAGACTGCTCGACTTTCAGGGTGGTTGTTGTAACAGTGAGGCTACAGGAGCTTAATCTGTGTGTTCTGATGTTTCGTGTCCAGTGGGTGATCCCAGAGATGGTTGGTCAGTGTCTGTCCACGATGCTGATGTTGGTGTCCACACACTGGTTTATATTCCTCCTGAACCTGCCTGTAGCAGCCTGGAACATCTACAGGTACAGAACTCTGGTCCAACTCAGACTGATTCAAGGAGGAGAAACCCTCACAGCTCAGTTCCTAAAATATAACTGAACTTGTTAGCTTTTATTTATTTACTATGCTTAAAGGTTAAAAATCTTTAATTAGTTCATTAGTTGTTTTACATGTTGGATCAAAGAAAAAAACAAAACCTTTGTGAAATGGTGAAACAAAAGAACCGTGTGTCAGGAAAATTGTTGACGAACAATCTAAAACTCAGAGGTCCCAAACAGAGGACCTTGAGGCACTCCAACCTGGTGAATGATGCCAGGAAGTCTCTCATTAGGATCAACACACAGTTTTTTTTACTGCTGCTCACCACTTGTGAGCTTAAAGTTATATTAATACGCTACATGTCAGTTACACAGGACCAGAAAACTGATTTCCTGTAGGTTTCTTCCTAAACATAATAATCTCCGATCAACCCCATCCAGAGTTTGACAACAGCCTGAAACGCTGAGCTTTTGTTTTATTTTGAAATCTGTTTTGGACTGAATGGCTGTTTATTTGTTTAGAGCTATTAGTCACTTGTTAAAACATATGGTTTAGTTTTTTTTAAAGTAAGAGTGTATTTATAGAATAAATGCACACTGCGTTCTATCAAAGAGGTTTAAAGTGAAATCATCTTAAATAGCAGAGTTATGGCAGTTTATGTCCAACCTTTAAAATAACAGTTTAATGTAAGATCTCTCCTGTTCTATTAGAGCTCAGAGTGTTTGTTGTGAATGACTCTTAGCTACTACCACACCAAGTTTAAGTAAACTATCAGTAACTGTCACTAAGGTGTAGCTGTTGTTTTAGCTGTGTGGAGTGATTTTAGCTGATGTTTCAGACATGTGGTTCTCCTGCAGGTACGTAAAGGTTCCCATGGGGAACATGGGCGTCTTTGACCCGACTGAGATTCACAACCGGGGTCTTCTGAAGTCCCACATGAAAGAGGCCATGATTAAACTGGGCTACCACCTGCTCTGCTTCTTCATCTACCTGTACAGGTAAAGTGAGGTGTGCTGCAGGGCCAGGCTGTCTGACAGGTGTACCGTTGGCTTGACATGTTCCTCTGTCCATCTCCCTGCAGCATGATCCTGGCTCTGATCAACGACTGAAGGCCTCACGGAGTCCAGCTTCCAGATGCACGCTCCTTACACCTGTACTGGATCCCAGAAACCTCTCAAAGCAGAACGCTTCTTCCATCGCCGATCCAGACTTCACTTTAATGTGGTTAATATTTAACTTTCCTACACTCCGTATCATCAGGAAGTCTGCTCTTTACTTTGGAAAACAAACCCTCCTTTTGTCCCAAACACCAGCTGATGATGATTTTAGGAACTTTTTTAATAGTGGGACCAAAACTCAGCCACAAGTTCAGAACCTACTAAAATAAAACCAGTTAAATGTTAAATTTATCATCTGAATGTTTAGACAGTGGAAACAGAAATAAAGATGGTTTTTATTCTGAGGACAAACATCTCAACCAGTCTTCGGCTGTTTGAAACTTAAACATCCTGTCTGGTACCAGAGAAGTTGGTGGTGTGGTTCAGTGGAAGCAGCGTACAGATGTTGGACAGTAGTGGAGATGGACCATGATGCATTGCAGCAGGTTAATAGATGCGAACATCTGCAGTGACTTTTCAGACTAGATGAAAAGGACTCATTTTCTCTTTAATGCAAAAGATATAAAATCTACATTTCTAACTTGGCTCCGCCCCTTTCTGAGCCGATGTTCTGATCTTTATAGAAAATATTAAAATTTAAAATGTTTCAAAGATAAATATATAATAGGTGAATCATTTCAGTGCAAACCAGCACAGTATTATGTACACACCTGAGTACATGCAGCATCGTGAAGTATTCATTCAGGAAGTCTTCAGAATGTACAAGTACTGAACATTTTGAACTCAACCTCAGTTTAAAGTGCATTTAATAGAATTTTATTCAAGACATTACTCCAAACTGAATTTTAACCCATTCCTGTTGTTCACTAAGTTCAAGTGTCAGAACAACACACGGATTAGAAGCAAAGATCAGCATCTTAACGAGCGTATTTTTATTTCTGACATTTTATTTACAGACTTAAAACAAAAACATCTGAAAACTTGGGACTGGAAAGTGTAGGAGCTCGGTGATGTTCTTGAGTCTGAGCTGGGACACATTCAGACCCCTCGGTCCAGATCAGTCTGTTGTAGCAGGACCGGTTCAGTCCGGTCCAAACCCACCACCAAAGAGCCATAAATCAGCTGCTGGTGTTTCAGACTAGAGGAGCCGAAGTTCTCCAGATGTCTGTCAGCTCCTGGTCCATCTCATCCAGCACCTCCTGCTCTGAGAGTTTTTAGAAACCAGAACCGGTCCATTGTTCGAGCTTCTCCCAGACCTGAGTTCAGGGTTCCAGCTGGATGCTGTTTGAAGGTCTGATCTGCTGGGTTCAGCCTCGGTCCTACTCTGACCTTACTGTTCAGCAGAACCAGACTCATAAACACATCCAGACCTGATCCGGGACCTGGACCATGGCAGCATGCTGGAGATTTTACTGAGCTGTTGACAAAACTTTAAGACTTTTCATGTAAAAACGATCATTTGAAGTTTTTTGTTGTTGGAGTCCTCGTCCTGTGATGATGCAGCGTTCATGCTCCAGTTTTTTTTTTAACCATCCTGGGTTCAGTTCTTGGAGCTGGAACTGGTTCTCAGTTCCTTTCTGTAAATCAGTCACTGATGCAGTGTTAAGTTTCTTTTATTGGAGGGGCGGGGCTTGTTTTCCTAAATAAAATGAGAAAAATGACTTCATTTGTCTCCTTGTGGCATTGATAAAATCAATCTGATTTTTCACTTTTGTTATAAAAAATTTGAGAAAAAAATGCATAATATGAAATTTAACTCTCTGGTCACTATCAGGTCCACTTCTTCAGTTGCTCATTAACTCAGTCAGCCAATCGCATGGCAGCAACTGAAGTGGTCCAAACAAAAGAAGATACAGCAGCAGTTTAGACTTCAGTGTCAGAAAAAAAATTACCAAATGATTCAGTTTCGTTTAAAAACTTGTGTAACAAGCCTGAGAGCTACAACACTTTATCTGAAGATTATTTTTTTTGTTATAAAAAAAAAACATTTTATTGGCCGGATGGAGGTCACCTGCGGGCCGGATGTGGCCCATGGGCTGCCAGTTGAATACCCGTCATAATGAATTCTAATCATTGCTGGTGTTAGTATGAACTGCTGTGGACGAAAAGAATATAAAGAAAATGTTTTTAGTCTACCTCTTCAACCAAGTAATGATATGTAAATCAGTAGGATTCAGAATCAAATCGTAATGAAATAAAACTGTGGGACAACTTTGAGCTCATGTTAACTCTGAACACCTGTGAGAAGAAACCAGATGTGGAACCAGATTATCTCTGCTGGTTACATGAAGTTAATCAGTTAACTGAGGTTTACTGATTCATTTTCATAAAATACATTCATTTTTTTAGAGTTTGATGCTCTCAACACAAACATTCCCTTCTCCATTTTTGTTTAACTGAACTTCAGAAACTACAGTCCAGAGGGTGTTTTTTGTCTTCATGATGTTTTAAAAAAACCTATTTAAATCAGGTTGGTTTTTCCCCATTCAAATTTAACAATCTGGAGAATTGTTGCTTTTTAATTTAAATTTTAATTAGAAAAATCCCGTTATATAAAATAAACATACGAAGAGGGATGTCGTGGTGACACATGTAGTTTTCATCAGCATCTGTTGGACTAACAGAACCAGACGAATGTTAAGCCGGACCACAACCCATCCTGAGAATCTTACCATTAATTCATTTAAAAGTTTTATGATGGATGTCTGAAATAAAACCAAGTTACACACAGAGACCATTTTATTTCTTCTCTCACATCCCCACACAAAAAAAGTCTTTAGACATCAGAACCCAGAGTCCAGTTCTGTGGTCCAGTCAGGATGCAAATCCACCTCATGAAGTCTGAACAAACAGGTTCTACTGAGCTACAGAAGCACAATCATACAAACCAGATCATCAAAGTTTATAGCATTTAATGTGCTTCCTGCATCACATTTCACATAAATATCTTCACATCATGAGAACACTGCAGAACCTTAAAGTACAAAAACCTCTGAAATCATGATTTATGAGACAGAAGTTAGAGAAAAACTGCACGTTGATGTTCCCACAGCCAATAAATATGTTCTTTAAACACTCCGCCAGGGACAGAATCTACAAACCTGCAGAGTCACTCGACACACATGCAGAGTCACTCCACACATGCAGTCACTCTACACACATGCAGAGTCACTCTACACACATGCAGAGTCACTCTACACACATGCAGAGTCACTCTACACATGCAGAGTCACTCGACACACATGCAGTCACTCGACACACATGCAGAGTCACTCCACACACATGCAGAGTCACTCGACACACATGCAGAGTCACTCGACACACATGCAGAGTCACTCCACACATGCAGTCACTCTACACACATGCAGAGTCACTCGACACACATGCAGAGTCACTCGACACACATGCAGAGTCACTCGACACACATGCCGAGTCACTCCACACACATGCCGAGTCACTCCACACACATGCCGAGTCACTCCACACACATGC